CAAAGCTACACAGAGAAACCCTGTCTTGAAACCCCCCCCCCCAAAAAAAAAATAGTTACCTCTTTTGTTTCTGATCAGCTAAGGTTATTTATGCAGAAGGAATCAAATGAATAACTTTAAATTTATAGGAAAATATTAAAAATGCTTTTAAGCTTCATTTTCAATATTCTCCTGAGCTAGAAGCTAGCTACCAGTGTCACTTGTTGGTATTGTGTTTTCCCAGTTATCTTCTGGGTGATTGACTTCTGGTGCCCACTACACATGTTCTCTCTCTCTCTCTCTCTCTCTCTCTCTCTCTCTCTCTCTCTCTCTCTCTCTCTCTCTCTGTTGATTGTTTGGCTTATCCTTCCCATGTGTCTCAAGAGTTGAACACACATTTTGCTCTTTTACTATGTCATGATATGCTATTCTAATATTGGAAAGTATAACATTTGACATTTTGGATTTTATAACACTTTTGTTATTATAAACAATGAAAGTTTGGGCTTCAAGAGAAGTGGATGATTTTCTCAAATCATTAAACACATCTCTTATTTATTATACTCTAGAATTTTATCCTTTTCTAGAATTACTTATTTTAAATGTTTTCCTTGGTCACTATGAAAAGCTTAATGTCTGTTCCTCAATCAAAAATATGCCACAAGTAGCACGTCATGTAAAAATTTAGAAATAACACTATCAGTGTGTCAGAAGAGCATAAGTGCATAATCTCAATGACTACAAAGAGAAACATGTGTTTTTCATATTGTTAATGCCAATATGCATCTAAAACAAAATCTCACTTTCTTCTAAAGTAATAGAAGTTTTTCATTTATGTTATATATCTAAACACCAGAAGTTCTTACTACAGTTTCATATATAATTATTTAAAATCTTTTAAAAATAAATAATGCACATTAACTGTAATTAGGTGTACTCTTACTTTTTTGTGAAGTGGCATTCTTAATCGACTAAATAGCTGCTTACATGGAAAAAAACCTCTCATTAAATTCCAAAGAAAGAAGTTTGGAAACCTGAAACAAAGAACATAAACTTTTATTGAAAATAAATAAGACCAGGTAGTTAGTTCTTTATTTAACAGCAGGAAGGTAGGTAGATGATAGATAGATAGATAGATAGATAGATAGATAGATAGATAGATAGATAGATAGAGACAGAAGCTGGCAAATTCCATGTCTTTAAATATAGCATTAAATGAAAGATAAATCTAATTTTTACAAAGAAGTAAAGCTGTCTTTAATTCCCATTCATCTGGCAACAAAAGAGATTTAAATCATTCAAGAAATTCCAGCATTCACATAATCCTCATCAGGTATCAGGTACCAGAGTTGTTACCACCCTGAACCTTGAATCATAAAGTCTCAGCTAAACCTTCATGCATGGTTATCTATTAATAGTGATGCAGATGAGTTTAAAATATATTAATATATACTGCATGCAATAGGAACAAGACCATTGCTATTTCCAGATTACCAAGACCCAAATATCCAATGTGCTCCTGCTGCTGCATTACCTTGTCCATGAGCATGAATAATTTCTCAGATGAACATACCTTAAAACAGTCTTTGTGGACAGAATGTTTTAAAATTGAATTATGTGGTAAGAGAACACAGCTAAAAAGTCCGAGTTTATGGAGTATCATATATGCTAGTATCTTTATCATGTTTCTTAGCCATATACTACTCATCCCACTTAAACTCCATGGGAACTTGTCAGTTACGTCTAACAAACAAGCCATCATGTGGGTAGATTAACAGGGTAACCCTGTTACATAAAACTGTGTTTTGAAGTTAAGTAGAAAATAATAGGGCTCATCAGGAATCCAGGAAAGCAAACAGGTTGTCTCTGTAGAATGATGAAAGGATCTAAATTAGAACAGGAGATTGTCCCAGTCTATCAATCTCCTACCCAACTTTATCGAAAAAAGACTAAATTTTTCTCATTTTATTTGGAAAGCTTGAATTTGCTCCAAAAGAAATTAGCAGGCTCAACATTTTAAGGGTAACAAATCTTACATGGGCAGGGTGAAGAATAAAGAAGTACTTCAACCAAATTCAAAACTGAGTCTTTTAAGTAGTCCATAGTAGTATGTGATACTATGGAAATATACTATATGACCAGGAAGAATTAAGAAACCTGCTATGAGAATACGGGGATTTGTTACACATAAATAAGCAATCGTCTAAGTAGGACGAACCCAGGCTTTTGCACCCAACGAGAAAGAAACAAACAAAGGGTTGAAGAGCACAATGAAGACTGTATTACATTCAGACAATAAGGAATTGTCTTTTATTTGGATCCAAAAGATATTTTTATCTGTGGTAACAGAAAGTTCAAAGCAATACATACAGAAGCAGAAAATGAATATTTGTGGAATAAACTCTCCAAGAGTATAAATATACTCTTTTCATAAATATTCAATGCATTATTTGACATGTTGGTTGGAGTGAAGCTCCACAAGTACAATTTTAAGCTTCTTGGTTTGGGCTTTGGTCCAATAAAGTATATATTCCCCACCACTATCAGCTTTTTCACTAAAAATATGTATGCTCACACCCTACTTCTAAAATAGTCTAAGATAATTATTTGCATTTTCATAGTAACTAGTACAGTTATGACTGCCATTGTCTCTCATTTCTAAGCAAAGAAAATGGTTTTGAAATACTGTTAATACAAGAACGGGTGGTAATGGAGTAAGGCATTTTCTTAAAATTGTGCTAAAATTGCCATTTTTATTTTTAATTATTTCCGTTGTGCTAGACAAGATTTTGTTTTCAGTAACAAAAATAAAGCTGTCCAATACAATTCTCTAGTCTATTGCTCACCAGTCATCTAGCCCCTCCCTGGAGCAACTTCACAATGGATTTCATTCATTTTGAAAGCATAAAGCTAGCACTTTAGCACACAGAATTCTGACTGACAATTGCTCAGGATTTTAGTGAGGAAATTCACTGAATGGTGACACCTAGCAAGGCAATCTGTTGAATTTTCACTCAGTAGATGCCAAGGAAAACCACTTAAGACACGGTATTTTTTGAAGATAAACAGAAAGGAAAAAAAGTTACTGGCAGAATCTATAAAAAAAAATAACCATGTTTAATGGAGGAGGGGTTTAATCCCAGGCTTCCCATTGGCCTGAAGAAAGAAAGACACCAAAAGAATTATGGGAGTCACATGAACAGTTCTCCTTTCCCTTGACTCTCTCTCTTACTATTACTACTTTTAATGACAAATCACGCCAGACTTGCCTTTGGGGCAATGCTTGCCGAATAACGCTATATTAATTAACTTTTTAAAAGCAAACACCCAGGAATTAGTCTAAAGCCTGATTTGAGGTTGCCAGAAGGAATTTTGTCTATGGTTATTTCCACGTTGCTTTAGGGTGAAAAAGACATTAAGCTTGCACATCTCGCCAACATGGCACCTCTAGGCACAACGGAGTTAAACTTTCTTTAGCTCTCATGCCGCTTCTCAGTCCCTCTTAGTTTATAAGTGCATCATCGACTCAAATTCATCAATTCTCTGTTTGGTATTCCCTTTCCTGATTTTCCGATAGGATATCGTATTGTATCTGGAATAAGCATTCCTGGAGATATCTCCCTTCTTTCCCAACACGGGCTGCTCGTCGGGGGTCCCTGGCTGGGAGCCGGGGCTGCTTAGCGGGGAGTCTTCCCTTGCATGGTTTTCCTCTTTTAATTGAGAACCGTCGCTGTGATTCCTCTTAAATTCTATTACTCGAACTTCATCTTCGTCATCATTGCAGTCGTCGACGTCTTCCTCATTAATTTCTTCATTCCAAACTTCTGGTTCCTCATCACATTTAGAATGCAATATGTCAACTGGAGTAGATTTCCGGAACCCCAACCACTCTATTTCTGCTGCCTGGTAGGTTGTACTGTCATCTTCTCGGTGCTCTAGAGGTTGGTGGGCGATCCTTTCCTTCTGTGTATTCATCTCTAGGTCACTGCTGCTCAGAGGAATCTTCTTCCATGGATGCCCTGTAGCAAAATGGATTTGTGAGTCAGATGTGCTGGGGTTTCAGAGCACCTCACTGCTATCCTGTAGTCCTCTGACTCATTCTTCCAGACAGTCAGATTTCAACTTGTGCCTTATGGACTGTGACTCTGGGTTGCCTGATAAATCTACACAATCAAACAGGCTTCACAGTCAAAATAGTTTGCAGAACACTGCATTTCATATAGTTTAATAAACATCTCAGAATTTATGTTTTTTAAATGCTTGATGGATATTGTATGTCTTCAGTAATGTCTACAATCCAACCTCATTCAATTGGAATTCTATTGTCATAGACTGGTGTATTTAGTAAGATTACTGTTCTCTGAGGCACACTTAAAATTTTTCCTTTGTCAAAACTAGATATGCATATATATGTTGAGTGTGTATATATGTATGTATGTGTGAATTTGTATCATGCATGTGTGTGCATGTATATATTGTATATGTATGTTTATGTACACACTCAATACATGTTTGGAATTATTTTACATCTACAAACACTTCCTTCAAGAACAATGCAAAAAATACCTCAGAGTGGAAAGCTTTATTACAATGTAAAAATGATGACTACCTGTGTCTAGTCACACTCAGAGTAATAACTTTGACATTTGACACTGTCCCTTGAATGGTAAAGAAGAGCAAAGGCTTGGACTGGAAAAATGGCTCAGTGTTAAGAGCACTAGTGTAGCTGAAGTTTTCCTTGTCCCGGCTCCCTAGGTCTCACAGTCTTGCAGCTGCTGAGACCCAAATAAACACACAGAGGCTTATATTAATTAAAACTGTTCAGCCATTAGCTCAGGCTTACCACTGACTACCTCTTACATAAACTCTGCCCATTTCTGTTTATCTATATGTTGCCACGTGTTACATGGCTTTACCTGTGTGCTGTTACATGCTGCTCCATGAACTGCTGGCTGGCATCTCATGACTCAGCTTTCCTGTTCCCAGAATTCTCTTCTCTGCTTGTCCTGCCTATACTTCCTGCCTGGCTCTGGCCAATCAGCATTTTATTTATTAAACAATCAGAGCAACACATTCACAGCATACAGAGTGATATCCACAGCACACTAGCTGCTCTTCCAGAGAATCCAGGTTCCAGTCCAAGCACCCACATGGTACCTCACAACCATTCCTAACTCCAGTTCCAATACCTTCTTCTGGCCTCTATGGGCACTAGGCATGCACATGGTACACAGACATACATGCAGGCAAAGCATTCATACACATAAAATAAAATGTATACAAAAATGAAAAAGTATAAAAAAAGAGCAAAGGCAGCCTGGAGAGATGGTTCTGTGGTTACAGGTACTTGCTCTTGCACAGCAACAGGTTTGGTTCCAACAGCCACATGGCAGACTGTAACTCGGTCTCACTCTACGTCCAAAAGGTCAATGCTTTCTTCTGGCCTCCAGACACCAGGCAGGAGATAAAGACACTTACATACATACAAACAAAACACTCATGTACATAGAATAAAGCTTTTTAAGAAAGATGATCAAAGGTCTCTAGATGTTCAGAACTCATATGCTGACAACTGAGTCACACCCATGGCTCAGGATCTTCTGCTGACCTATAGGGATCTAGATCTAATAATTATGTTGGGCTTCTATGTATACAACGCTAGATTCTCCTGATGTTCCAAATGACAGTAACAGATTATTTGGTACCATGTTGTGGCTTTTAGATGGCTTAAGCACTATAATCATTGGTTTCCAAACAGCTGGAACCTCTTAGCACACTTCCCTAGTATTTCTTGATGAAGTTTCCTGAAAAGGCACACGTGGCGGGCTTCTGTGGAAGACCATCTATCCACAGGGAACAGGGCTAGTGTGTGTGGCTTCCCCATTCTCTTTCTAAGCAACAGCAGCCTATAAACAAAGTAAAAAGCAGTTGTCAACTTTGTTCTCCCTTCATAGTTCTCCCTGTAAGTCTGTTTTCATCAAAGGCTTTTATTTTTTCTCCGAGTCCACGTCTCCATGTGCTGTGAAAAAGACAAGTAGGCATGTATTACCACCCACACTAGTCCTAAACAGCTGCTGTCAATCCTCCCCTTGATATTCGTTACATTGCAAAAAAGTGGACATTGGATATTTGCTATGATAGTAGGCTTTGTTTTGTTGTGTCTCCCCCCACACACCAAAAAATAAAATAACACACACACACACACACACACACACACACACACACACACACACACACATGATCCTTTTTTTCATATACATGACTCAGGCCTAAGACTGTCAAGAATAAAATTCATCCTTCAATTTAAATTGATTAGTGTTTTTCCTCAATATTTTTTAGCATCTTTATACTCTTAGCAGGCATATTCCCTTAGGAGATTTTACAGCTGTTTGCCATCTTGAAAATAAAAGGCACGAAAACCAGTGCCGCTATCACAGAGTAGAAGCACACTGTGAAAAGACCCACAGGCTGAATGACCCAGAGACCTAGGATAGAACCAACCATGACTGGAGGGGGAAAAATGTCAATGTAATGATGCCTAATGACATTATGCTATATTCATAGATTGTTGCCTAGCCCAATAGTCATCAGAGAGGCTTCATCCAGCAGTAATGGAAACAGATGCAGACCCACAGCCAAATATTAGGCAGAGCTCAGGGAATCCTGCAGAAGAGGGGCAGAAAAGACTGTAGGAGCGAGAGGGGTCAAGGGCATCACAAGAAAACTCACAGAGTTAACTAACCTGGGCCTATAGAGGCTCACAGAGACTGAACTGAAAACCAGGGAGCCTGCATGGGACTGAACTAGGCCCTCTGCATATATGTGACAGTTATGCAGCGTGGTCCTCTTGTGGGACTCCTAACAGCAGTAACAGGGACTGTCTCTGACTCTTTTTGCTGGCTTTTGGGACCCTACTCCTCATACTGGGTCACCTTGCCCAGCCTTAACACAAGGCAAGGTGCTTAGTCTTACTGTAACTTGATATGCCATGTTTTGTTGATATCCATGAGAGGACTGCCCTTTCCTGAACAGAAAAAGAGGAGCGGAGAGAATTGTTCCCATTGCGGGGTGGGGACAGAGTCGGGGGTCGGGGAGAGAGAAGAGACTGGAAGGAGAGGAGGGAGGGGAAACTGCAGCCAGGATGTAAAATAAACAAATAAATAAAAAGAAAAAAGAAGAAGGGAAGGATTTAAACAGAGGCAAATTCAGTGGTTTCCTCACTCTCCACTTGATTGAAAGCCAAGATCCTAGCAAACTGTTTTTTTCAGCGGGTCCCCTGACTGATAAAGAAGCTGTAGGTGGACAATGGTGAGCCCTGACTTGATAGACTCATCACATTAAAAACAGAAGGATTGGGGCAAAAAAGTTATGTAATTCATTTCGCAGAGTCTTAACTTTCACAGACTACTATCCAGTGAGATAGTCTCCTGTGGGATCTCAGTAATATTGGCCACTGCTGGTAGCACTTTCCTATGACTGTTTACATATTGTGGGAGTAGTCTAGGCAAAGGGAGAAATTCAGAAATCCCCAGGCACCTCCCTGTTCTCCTTGGCATCTGCTATTTACATGGTGTTCTAAAATGTCCCTTTGGTGGTTGCCCTGTGTTTTCCCTGGCATGGCCCTAAATTAAATTGATTGGGTGCTACATGCTGACTTCAATTTGGAGATAAGCTCTTTGTAGCTTCAAGAGAAGGAAAGAGTGATAAATTAACAGATTCCATTCTGCACTGCACTCAGGAACTATTTGAATGGAAATACCTTCTTAGATGAAAATGTCCATAAGATGTTGTACCCTTGTCTACTGACTTCACTAGACATGTAACATAGCCTCTTCTATGTATTTTTTGTCTCATAGTTGTGATTTTGAGTGAAGAGCACAAAATTAACTTCATCACTCTGGGGCACAGTTCTTTGACAAAAAATGGTTAACAATTCTTTCAGACAAAATTTTTCCATAGAGTAACTCATTTTGTAAAGTTACTTTAGACTGAATGTCCAAGAGAGACTTTATGCTAAACCTGTTTCTGAATCATCTCAGAAGCTGCCTGATACCTGTCTGGAGCACCAAATTGAAAAGAAAGCTTGATTTAGGGGGCTAATCTATCAAGACATGACTATCACATTGCCATGCCGACCAGTCAGACTAGTTCATACAATTTGGGGCTTGAGCCACCTGGAAAGCTGGGTAAGGTGGAACCCACAGAGAATGAGACTGTTGTATTTGCCCAAAGCAGTTGAAAGATTTTGAAGTCATTGATTGGAACTGCTTCTCAGCAGCACATACACAAAACATTGCATGCAATGTTGTCATCATATCCAGCTGAACAGTGTTAGGAAACTAGGATTCCTGTTACCTTCTCTGAATGCCATGTCCTCAGCACTTGCTTCTTGGAGAGAAAGATCTCTGATGGCCTTGTGAACAACAAAGAGGTTCTCTTCTGAGTTTTCTAGGGGAAAACACTAATATTATAACAGTGACAACATATATAGTTAAAGGTTCACAAATGATCAATTCCGATTCTAGGTGATGTCTTTCGTTTTAATTATGATTAGTAAAAGTTATCATTCTACTTTTCTGATTCTTTTTAAAAATTGATTGTGTATATTTAGTAATTAGCTTCCACAATAAGAGTCTCTATATATGTGTGTATAGATATTTATATTTATACATATATATATGCACACACACACACACACATATATGGATTCAGACCTCTCTAGATATGAACAGAAGGGGATCTTAAAATTCTGAGTTCTCTTTTTTCAAACAACAATGGACTTGTGGGTCTGACAATAAATAGCAGTAGTTAACACTGAATTAACATTTAGAAATTATTCTAACAACTCAATAAAGGTGGTTACTATTTTTCTGCTTTATTCTAAGTAAAAATGCTCAGGTTTCAGCAGAGAAAACTGGGATTTCAGAGCTACCAGACAAACCTAGATTATGAGTCTTTATGATAGGAATCCCCTATTGGGATAAAGGACTATGGTTCTTGGATCCAGTTTCTTAGTATAATACGAGTTTATATAAAAGGGGGGGGGGTCAAGGAGGCTTGTAAATCAAAACAATTAAGCTGAGAAAAGGAAATCCTTTACCGTGGAGACTCTTCTCACCTGCAGGCTCTTCGGGTAGTACGCTTCCTTTACTGTTTCCACTTTCTTCTTGACTTCCTCTTGCAGGCACATCTTCAAGACTGGGTTCAACGCTGTAATATGTCTGGGTCCCCCCTGCATCAGCTGCGTCCTTGCTGGTTTGACTGATGCACTGTTGGTCATTATCAGGTGGTCTGTCCCCATTACACTCTGTCCCGCTCAGTGTCACAGGAGCGTCTGCCATGATGTTCACTGAGGTCTGATCTAGGGAAAGCAATTGAGAAAGTAAAGGAATGGATCTTGGAGAAGATCTATTGCTGCAGGTCCTACCGTTCCAAAACCTATCCTAAAAACATACACTTTCACTCTGACATCATCTAATAACAAGATTTGTCCTAAAGGTTTCCAGGGCTCACAATGAATGTGATAGGGTTTGTCCGTTTGGTAGCCAATCCAGGAGCAAAAACCAGCCAATCAGCAGCCTCCCCACCACCCCACAGCCCCGCTCTTAGAATTAATGTTGCCCTTCGATTTGCATAAACAAACAATCTGAAGCAATCAGGCTTTTGTGTTGGCATGCAGAGGGGGACTTGCAGCTTGTCAGTCCCCCCTCTGGGAACAGAGATTTTTGTCCCTTTCCATAATGGCCCTTTGTAATTTTCCTTGTAACAGGAGCCACCATTGTTCCCAGGCTTTAATCCAGAGAGAATGACCACCTTGAGGCACATTAGTTCTGTGTAACCAGCTTAACATTTCCAAACAGATTTGGTTCGAGTAAAACCTCAGCTCTTTTGTAGGGGACAATGGCATCGTTTCTCGTTTATTAAAGAATAAAACCAGCTTTTCAAGGACCTGTAAACACGACAACTTGATTGTAAACGACTTTGGCAACAGATTTCATGGTATGTCATCAAGAAGCTGAGAGGGGACCTAAGAAATAAACAAGCAAATTCTGGATGTGCTAAGAACAGGACTCTCACACTCTTGGTGTAATTCATCTTGTCTAGGGCTTCTGACTTACCAGCTTCTTTATGTCTATGAAACCCCCCTTATCCAATAAAACACTAGCATAAATTTCCCATGAAGTTTTCCCTTGCTCCAATCAGAATTATCCTTTGAATTCTATACGGGTATTTGTGATGCAGTCTGTCTTCCAGAGATTGGTTGAAATTAGGCAGCGGCTCACTTCCCTTTTGCTTGTAAAGGAATACATTCTTTCTTTTTTCAGGATTGCCCAGACCTTCCTCAAGGCCAATCCCTTGGCCAGAGCAGCTCCTTCTGAGCCCTCAATTCTGGGCTAATGTATCCTTCCTTTAACAACTCTTTTCCAGACCCACAGTTTTCTCTTCAGAGTTTAATTGGTTATGATTGACTGAATAATTTCACGACAATGAGCCTTTACCAAGTCGAATCTAATCGTCGTCAGAGCAGGATGAAGGGAGCTTGCTTACTTTTGTTGTCAGCATGCACCACCTGCCTTGAGCTAGGGAGGTCTGAAACCGTCCTGGAAGAAATGAAGACATTCTAAAGAGACGCTCTTGTGCCCCTCCTTCAGCTATCAGACTATTATTGAACAGTAGTTCCCAAGGAATTGGAACTTCCTCAGGTATTTCATGCTGGAAGAAGGAAAAGGATGAAGCCTGGTGCCAGCCAGAGAAGGCACTTGTCTCCCAGGAAGAGTTTTCATACCGTTCTGTAACGTTATGAGATCACGTTGCAGCAGTCGGTGGAACCATGACCAAGATGAACAGAACTACACCTTGGCCAAGACTACTTAGCAGTTAGCCACAGCTCTTGCTGTCCATTTAACCCAAAGCTCGTGTCAGCACTACATGATGAACTTGAGTCGGTGACCATAGTTTCCACATTGAAGAACTCTTCTACTCTTCACTGCATCTGATTCCAGTTGGTCCACTGATAACAGGGAGCCACGCCAAATATGTTAGTGTTACTGGAGATTGTGGCTGCCCCTTCATGATGGCATCACCTTATGCTACTGAGGAAATCAGGGTCTCTTCTTGGGGTTCTTGGTCTTGTTTACAAATGATTTCAGAATGGACTCAAAAGGAAGCTTCAAAGACAATCTTACTAGGTTAAGAGAAAAACTTCATATTGTGGTGATATTTTAATTGTGCTGAAATGTGATTTTATTTGTATGTTAATAAATAAAGTTTGCCTGGAGATCAGAGGTCATTAGCTAGCCAGGAACAGAATTCAGGTGGTGGTAGCCCACACCCTTAATCCAATCACGTGGCAGGCAGAGTCTCTGTGTGGTCAAGGACACAGCCAAACGTGGTGACCTTTGAGTCTTTAATTCCAGTACCAACCATAGAGATCAGGGGATCTGTATAGGCAGGCAGTGAAGAGGAAGTCAAGTTAGAGCCAATGAGAAGGCAGAACAGGAAAGCAATAAAACACAAGACACACAGGAAGAAGGTCTCTCTCTCTCTCAGGGGAAGGACGACAGCGAGTGGTAAGCTAAAGGGAGTCGTGGCTCTTGTTCTGATCTCTCAGGCTTTAATTCTGTATTTGGCTCTGTGTTTCTTATTTAATAAGACTGTTTAGAAATTTGTCTATAGCATATCAAACAAGCTCTAAATCCCTGCATCTGCCTGTAAGAGCAAGATGCAGAAGAGAAAGAGAGGAAGTTAGACCCTTTGCACTAAGCCCATTTGGAGGTCAGCCATATGATGAACAAGTAACTACACAGCACGAGGGAAAGCTTTAGAGAAAGGGTAAGGAAGCCCAAATTGCCTGAAAAGGGCACACTTAGATTCAGGCCAACATTCAAAAGAGTGAGAAGGGAAGAAAAAGTCACACAATTTGAGTTAGGACTCAGGAAGAGCAGCAGACCTAACAGAACTTCTCTACAGGATGAAGGTGTTGCCCTAGGGAATGGAGAATCTGAGAAGGAAAAGTACATTATCTCACTCAAGGCATAATTATTCTTCCTACCTCCTCTGGAGAGCGGTTTATTGTGAGACCACCTTTCTGGTAGGTAGTACCTTGGCCACTTGGTTTGCTGGCCCAACTGGATTAACTTATGACAGGGGAGACAATGACATGTCTCTGCCTAGAAGTAGATTCTGTTTTCCAGCCTATGCGGGTACAAGCTTTCCCTTAATGGACCTTCAAATCTATTCAGCTATTCGACCTTCCTAACAACTCTGGCAGCAGGCATTTGGTTTTAAAATTTTAAATATATGTGTATTTGAAGAAATGAATAAATCTATACCTCCAAGAGAATACACTTGAGAACATTTTTATGGGAAATCAAGAGTAGAGATTGAAATGTGTTTGTAAATTTATCTCCTAAAAAATTGTGTCTAAGAGGGCTGCACAGAGAGCTCAGTGATTAAGAAGACTGGCTGCTCTGCTAGAGGACCTGAGTTCAATTCCCAGCACCTACACGTCCACTCATAAACATCCGCCATTCCAATATCAGATGATCCAACAACCTCTTCTCATCTTTGCTGGAACCAGCCACACAAGTCCTGAAAAGACACACAAGCAGGCAAAACACCCATACACATAAACTAAAATTTATAAGATTTAAAAATTTAACATTGTGTCTAAGGATGAGTCCACTTGATTCTCTATCAGGGACAACAAACACATGTTACTGTGAAGTCATCTGCTCAATCCTGTCCCAGGGAAACATCTCTAACAGAGACTAAAACTCCATCTCTTGTTGTCACCAGCTCTTCTGTCTGTAGCACACTGTCTGTTTGTTAGATGGTGGGGATGTCATACAGCTGGTAAACCCACCGATGAAGTGGGGTGATGGTGGGGGATTTTGTGTCAGTGAAGGCTTTCCCACCCCAGGAAGGGCTTAATTCAGAACTTAGGGATCTAACTCAGAATCTCACAGTCACAGAAAAATTTCAGAGTCTGTAGCTTCACATTTCATCTGGAGAATCTGAAGAGTGAAGTTAACGGATTATAGGGGGTGAGTTTTGGAAAGAAGTTTACTTACGGGGAACATAAGGAAAAGAAAGGAGGCAGTGGTCCTGTGTTGCTGGAGCTGAACCCAGAAAGTGGAATACCATCGAGCTGCTAATCTTGGGGCTTTTTGTAGGACTAATGGCAGACACTAGGGTGAGGCTTGGGAGGAAGTATCCAGTCTAGTTGGCTCAGCCATATTGTGTCTCCTCTCAGCTTTAGACATATCTTACATTCAGCTTCCAGGCACGGGTGCTCACTTAGGAAAATAAATAAGCAACCAGGAACCAGAACTCCCCTACCCCTGGTATTCCTAGGCCCTGGTAAGGACAGAACTGCAGACAGGACCAAAGATATTTTCATCTTTCAGTCAAGGAAAAGAATGCCCCTGAGACTGTTTGACAAGTTTCTCTCCTGCTCTTCCCACCTTCAATGGCACACACCATAAATTAAGCCACCTGCCATCCCTAGCCTTTGCACAGATATTCGCCTTGACCACAGCTCCCACAAGAATCTATCACCAACCACCTTGACAGCTGAGAGAACTGTCACCATGAGAGGGCAGCAGAGGGACTGAGGCAGAGCCAGCCCTTCCCAGGAGGCACACAAGAGCTGCTGGAGACAGTGAAGGGGGTCTGTCCTCACAAGAAACAATCATGAAGCCTATAGATAAGGAAAATTGAAGGGAATCTGCGGGTGTGCAGAAACTGCAACTAAAGTTCAGGTACAAATAGGGACATATCAAACTCTAAGATCCTTAAGGGCAAGAAGTGACCCTCATTCAACCAAATGGCCGGTAGTACACAGACATGTAGAAATACATTGGTTTTAAAGGGCCTATCCTCAATCACTGCCATTGGGGGCTGCCAAGGACCTCAGTTCAGAATCACCACGAAGTTTACAGAATCACCACAGAATATGTGAGAAGCCAAGGCATTACTTATGTTAGAGCTAAGGTGTGGCCAATGAACACTAAATTTAAAAAATTAATTCAAATGATAGTTTTGATCCTGGAAGCATGGAACCAGCATTCATGCAGATGGTGGTCTGCGTAGTGGAGACAGGGCTACTGTTTTAATCAGAACTGCAGGAGTAAATTAGAACCACAAAGAGATCAAATAATGACCCCATCTGTTATGTCTTGAATACGAAGTGTCACTCACAGCTCATCATGGTGAGAACATCCAGCTGTTAGCACTATGTGAGAGATTCTAGAAACATTGGAAAATGGGGCCTTGCTGGAGGAGTGGGTCTTTGCAGATGTGCCTTTGAAGGTTCCAACAGCTCCGCAGTCACGTTCTACCGCTGTGCTCCCTGCCCTCCAAAGAGAAATGACTCTTTTCTGCCTAGTGGGAAAGAATAAGAAATGCATGAACAAAAAGAAAGCAAGTTGGCAAGGCAACTTCTTTTTGAAAACGGGGTGCAACAGATCCCAAGCTGGACAAGGAAGCTGAAAACTCTAGCCAAACTGGCTGCTGTCTTTTATCTCTGA